AACCGGAAAGGCAATCCAAAACAAAACAACAGATAAACATCTAAGAGACGATAGGAAATATTGTTCTTTAAAATAAGCAAGTATAAAATATGGCATTCATGAGGGTGTTTGTGTGTGTGGGGGGATATATGTTTGTATGTTTGCTTTCAGTTCCTTTCCCAAGAGAAATGTAAATATCCGATTCTGAAAAGACCATTTCTTTTTCTAAATATCCACAAGACAACACCTAAACAAAACTAGTAACATTTCATCACCATTGGCAGATTCCAAACGTACACCAATCCTGATGAGTGAATTATCAAAAAGAGAACTATCTCCTAAAAAAAAAAAAGCTATTTAAAAAAGTTCAACGATAATTCTTCTGCCGCCATTTAATTTAAAGACAATTTGATGTACGCATGTCTATACTTTCTGTAATAACATTTATTTTTATTTCACGGGAGGCTTTCGCTGAAATTTCATAAAATTGTTATCGTAAAAAAAAAAATAGTCGCAAAATCACGTAAAAATCGCCGAAAACAATCGCAATAATGAAAACTTGTGACTCGAAAATTACAGGATTGGGGTCTGGACCCGCTCTGGAATGTTTTTCTTTTTCTGATTCTAAAATGGTATCGACTACGGTCTCTACGTCACAGTGAGACATTTATTATATAGATAAAGAAGATATTGAATGTTTTTGTAAAATACGGTATATCCAAGCAAATGCCTATTGCTATAAATACTCATTCGTTTATATTTTCGCCATTTTTTATAATCTCATTCAGCTGAATTAGAGTCGTAAGCACATAGAAGAAACACATTTTATTCTAATTTGGCCAATAAAATATTTAGAGGAAAAATAGATTTGAATAAAATATTTTCGTTTGAATTTTATTGCTTTAAAATTGTTACAAAAAACAAAACAAAACAAAAACAGCTTCCTTTCGAAAGATATTCCAAAAAATCCAAATAATTTTTTCATATTATGGTTGTTCACGAAGAAGTCATAACTTCTTTTTTAAAAAAATCGACGACGTCTGAGACACTTTTTTTCACCTTGCTTTTTCAGCTGAATGTAAGGAACTTTTTTTAATGGTTTACAGTAGTATACAGTTACCCAATAGTTCGTCAGCGTCAGTTTTTCATATGCAACAAAGTCAGAATAAAATAAATAAATAAATAAATTATTCAGTAATTTAACTGTCGGTTTATTATAACTGCATAAATGTTTATAGCGATGATTCCAAGGGCACAAAAAACTTAACCTCTTAACATTATATATATATATATATATATATATAAAGTGTCCATTGAGGTCAATACCCAACAGTGACAGTTTGCTTAAACGCAATCTTCAGGCCTGTAGATTACTTTTAAGCATGAAACAGACTGTCACTGCTGGGTGTTGCTTCCAATGTCCACTTTTATATTTATATACGTTTTATTCCTGAGATTGAACACTTTAATCCATAAGTACAGCATACCTTAAATCTATATTTTTTTCTTTTTACATCCTACGGACAGTTGTCCTCATCTTTATTGCCACATTCACGACGTTTCGACTATTGTACGCTGCGGCCTTCTTCAGGTAATATACGCTACAATTTCGAACCGATTCGAACCTCGATCAACAGAGCTAAATCGAGGTTAATAAATAAGTATATATCATCAATAAAAGGAATGGAGAGTCTGTAAGAAAAAAAATTAAATGGAAATAAATTGGAGGCCAAGGAGAAAATCCTTCTGTTTGCAAAGTGAATGTTTCATAGATAAAATATATATGACCGCCAATATTTTAAGGTGCTAATTAGAGTGGGACCTACTCAGGATGGAGAACGAGTACACACTAAAATTAGGTGAACAACCCGGAGATATTGGTCAGAACATTTGATGGTAAATAATTAGAGTTCCGGATTTTTCTAGATACGTGTTGCTTAATCCTAGCATTCAGCCTTTGAATCGTTCTTCTTATGTAGTTCGAACTGCAACTACATTTAATAAATAAATCAGTGGACTAAAAGGTGTTCCAATAATTTGGACCGAATTTAAATGTGAATTAACTTTAAGCGTCTAATGATTTTTTCTTTTTCTTTTAGATTTTACAACTTAAGTCTTTGGCAATTTCAACCATCAAACAACGTGTTAAATTTATTTAAATTTATCGAAGCCTATTACGAAAATGGACGTTCAAATTTATAAACATACGGCCCAATGATTCCGCTAACAAAAAATGCACACCAGTGACCTTTTGTGAATAGAGTGGCTTTTCAACAATCCTCTTTGGATTTTCATTAGTCCAAATGCGACAATTCTGCTTATTAACAAATCCACCAAGAATGAACTAGGCTTCATCATTAAAGAGGATTTTTTGCAAAAAATCTTCATCAGCTTGTCTTTGATCATGCACCCAATTGACGAATGTACAGCACTCCAAATGGTCAGCAGTTTTCAGTTCTTGTGTCAACTGAATTTTGTAAGCGTGTAGAGACAAATCTTTTGTCAAAATTCAATGTAACGTTCTTGTGGAGATGTTCAATTCCTGTACGCGATGACGAATAGAGGGGTCTGGATTTTCGGCCACATTCTCGTGCACTGCAGCAATGTTTTCAGCCGAATGGCATAAATGAGCATGCAATGGTGTTTTCACATCTGCCACCGACCCAGTTTGTTTAAATTTACGAATAATTTTTTGCACTTGCCCCCTTGAAACTTTCACACGTCGTTTGATTGTCAATCTTTCCAGGGTTGAAATTTCCAAAGACTTAAGTTGTTAAATCTGAGAGAAAAAGCAAAAAAATCATTAGACGCTTAAACTTAATTCATATTTAAAATCGGTGCAATTTATTGGAACACCCTATATTATAGTGAGATGGAAGAACGTCTTTCCGCGTGGATCCAAGGACAGGTGTAGCAGAGAAAACTATGTGTATTAGCAGAACGGTAACATTGCCGAACTTCTAAGGAAACCCATTTAAAATATCTCTCACTAATGCTACATAGCCAAGGAAGACGTAGGTACACAGGTGATGTAATGAATATGCATACACCTGGGTTCCCCTCACAGTAATAAAATTGGCTGGTGTCAGCCATAGATACAGACTGGTGTGGACGTACAGGACGACGACTATTGGCTACGCCTATTGCCTACGCCTATTGCCTACGCCTATTGCCTACCACTACGACGAGGACCAGTCCATTACGGTTACCTGCTAGATTGTCCTACCCGCTTACAGTAGTCAACAACCACTTTGCTACTTCGAATAAATATATCCCTTTCGGGGACATATCAACAGGACATCTCTGTACTGAAGCAGGTTTGACTTTATTAAACTCCGAAATTTTATTTTTAACTACGGAATGGATAATATGTAATGAATAGGCATTGTTACAGAGAGTAGTAGTAGTAATAAACCTGATCTCATCAGCCAGCTTGGTTATACAACAGATCATTAAGGTCTTGTGGGTAAAAGTCTTAATTAAATTTAATTTACGTTTTATGGGACAAAAAGAGTCCCAATGGGTATATAAACCAGTAAACGTCGGTTTTCGATAAACCGAGTGAGAAAACGCGAAGAAGGGAAGGAAAGGGTTAGTTTCCTTATCTTGAGTAAAATTAAGTGCTGGGCGGATATTGTAAAGATACGCAAGAAAAAGGTCCGCTTCATTTTCGTTATGGAAGAGACAAAAAGTATCATCAACATAACGAAAATAAACATCAGGTCAACTTAGGATCAGATAATAAACTCTCTTCATGGAAGCCTACAAAAATGTTAGCTAAAATTGGTCCTAAAGGTGAACCGATTGAGTCTCCATTAATTTACATATGCATGACGCCGGCAAAACTGAATTCAACCGGCATCGTGGCAAATTTCATAAGTTCCACAAATATATCCTCTGAAATAGGAGGAGGGGAAAACTGACTACGATATAAGACGTCAGCACATATATCAATAGAGGCACGTAAGGGAAAAGAAGGCTACAAATATCAAAGGAGCACATAAGTTTGTTAATCGACGGGTTATATAAAGTCTGTATAAAGTGAGAGAATTCAAAAGAATCTTTAACACAGGAAGACTTATACTGTCTCAAAACTGGTTGCAAGCCATTTGGCCACAACATGTTGGAAAGATCTTATAATAGACAATAGGTCTCAGTAGGACCCCAACCTTATTTGTATTTGGGTAATCCATAGAGACAGTGACAAATTTAATCAGAGTGTCTAATCAAATTAGAAATGTCAGTAGGCAAAATTCCACTTTTAACCTAGGCGTTTTTGGAACTTAGCCTCAATAGCAAATGTGGAGTCAAACTCATCTATTGGGCCTAACTGAACAAATTTAGAAGTATCCTTAAGAATCGTCAACATCGTTTACATAATCCTGATAATCAACTATGACAACAGCTGACCCTTTATCAAATTTCATAATGACCAAATGTTCATTCAATTTTGCCTTAAGGTCATTAACCTTGTTAACAGATTCAGGTTGAAGTCTGGTTAACTGGACAAAAAAAGACTTCAAAGTGTGAGTAAATTTCTTCTCGCTTAGTAAATGAGGGAGGAATACAAAAATCCAATCCATGCGAGAGACCCTTCACACCTCTTCCCGATCCTTTGAACAAGGGTAGAACTTTTCTTAGCTTTCACTTCCAGTAGCCCCCTTGCGTCTTAGTGGCGTTATTGCCTTGCTTGAAGCGAACTGATTAAAAAGAATATGTTTAAAATCGGAAGATGCGCGCACAAAAATCACTTGAGCCACCCTAGAAACACAGGTTGTCCCCCACCCACTAAACTATAGAAAAATTGAACTTACTTTTGCAAATATGAGCCACAAGTGTCCTGGCCATTTCAATCATTTCTCCTGAATCGGATGCTCGTAGAATATGACTTGACTTTCCGGATGCCAATGATTCAAGTACACTCTCATGGTTCAAACTGCCCATGTCGACAATAAATATTTCTATTCCTTTTGTCTTAGCCAACTTCGCTTCTAATTTCGCCCGTTCGGGATAGCTTTAATTTACCCCCTAAGGAACAAGACGCCAACCTTGCGTGCATTTGGTCGGCCGCCATTTTCAGGTTCAAAACCTTCCATTCGAAGATCGGTAATCAATGAGTAAATTTCAGTTGTTCTGTAGCTATCAAAATGTGTCAGTATATCAGGAAGATTTTGATAACGATTGAGATGAAAACCTGAAAAAGCAAAAAAAAAAAAAAAGAAGATATATAGATATATTCTTATATTACAAAGTCACGTAAAATGCAAACAGACACCATCCTCATTTTCATATTACATCACTTTATGAGCCAATGCTCTACAGCAGGGTTTTTATTTACATGGAAATAAAATGGATCCTGACAAAAAGCATTCATAAAGCATTGCTAACCTCGTATCATATATATATATATATATATATATATAATCTGTTCTCTTTGAGTTTATGTATCTTGTTCATCAAATACGTTGCGGTTTAAGTGACGCCAGTTCTCTTGTTCAAAGAGACCTTGTGCCAAAACTTAGCTACGAAGGTGTTGCCTTTTATTACTATCATTGGGTTGATACACCGTAAAACAAAATAAACCAATCCAAATTAGTCTCCGTTATATGCCTGCACGATTAGATAATGTGAATGGTCATATTTAATCACAGAAAATCACGTAAATAGCCTTTTCAGATTGAGATTTTCATATGGATGTCATGTAAAGCCATTAACTGTCAGCTGTATAGAGCCGCATTTCTAAGATCAATGGTCAAAAATGGCTTTGAGCGAGTGAAGCCTGTGGGTCTGCTCTTTTACTGGGAAGGTTTTCTGAAGATAATGTGTTGTTTAGCTATTTCGGCTTGTACACGGAATTTGGATTCTGGCCGATTTCTCAGACATAAAATAATGGCGTCGTCTTATATTATTATATTATATTAGTTTATACACGAGAATATACGGCAAATTGGCTACGCTGAATTTGAAATAAAAGAATTCGTACATACCTTTTGTGTCTGGACAGGGTCCCGTAATGGTGCCAACGCGTACTTTACCGTTATTTAAATCTTCAGCAGACACGACAGTTTTAATGAAGCGAATGGCATCTTCAGTACCACTCGTACCCATTTGAGCGGGGTCGAACACAAAGTTAAAGTCGATCTCCTGTCCGTCGCATGCTAGTTAAATATAAAGAAATTCGTATATGGGTTAAATTTAAAATAAACAAAGAAATAAAATATGTCATTTTATTTAATAAATGAAGTCACATTGTAATAACAATAAATAATAAATAAATAAATAAAAATAATAATAACAATAATAATAATAATAAATAATAGACTCTCACGTTCCGCTTTCGGTGGAGGTGTTGTCGTCGTCGTCGTAGGAGTAGTAGTGGGAGTAGTGGTAGGAGCAGTCGTAGGAGTAGTGGTAGGAGTAGTTGGAGTAGTGGTAGGAGTAGTAGGAGTAGTGGTAGTTGTGGGAGCAGCAGTTGAAGCAGCTGAAACGAAAAGCAAGATTTTAGAAAGTATTTCTTTCGTTTTATTTTATTGTATTTTTTCTGTCCGGATAAAATGCAAAAGATGTTATTAAACATACAAAAAATTCCATTTAACGCTCATGAATTTAAGAATATCAGCTTTAGGAAAGCGCATTTATAGCGCATTTGTTGGTCTAAAAAAGAACTTGTAGTATTATATTGAATTTAACAAACCTCTTGCGAATTTATATCGGATTTAAGGAACGACATTTGCATTTATATCTTATTGACGGATTTATGGAACCACTTGTAGAATTATATAGAATTTAAAGGACCACTTTTAGATTCATATCAAATTTAAGGAATATTGGTTTTAACGAACCAATTATGTGTTTATATCGGATTAATAGATTTAAGAAATCACTTGTGGTGTTATATCGGATTTAAGGAATACCAGATTTAAGGTATTGCATTTGAATTTACATTTAAGGAACAACAGATTTATGAATATCGGATTTAAGGTAACAATTGCGGCTTTATACCGGATTTAAGGAATACCGGATTTAAAGGACGATTTCTGAACCACACAGGCCATAAGATAACACATAGTAAACCATCACATTTTTCTTGTGTATAATCAAATAACACCAATTCGAAAGTAGCATTTTGGGTTTTTTCTTGTTGATAAGCATATTTTTCTGTTTTCATGATTAGTACATTTTTCTTGCTTTTTTTTACCATTCTTTCCAAGTCGACAGACAAAACAACTTTATAGAAATATATAAATGAAGAACTATAACTTACCTCTGCAGGTGATGAAACCAAGAGATAGTATGATGTCTTTCAGGGCGCCATAAGAACTTACTAGGAAAACGTTGTCGGGACCGCTAGCAATTGAATTCAGTTCCCTCTCATCAACACTACTGCCGACACCAATAGCAATAATGTCAACATCCTGGCTTTTCAGAAGATCCGCCTCTGCCTTTGTCTTTGGCGGATAATTGGATCTTCCATCGGTAAGGACAATAGCAATCTTTTTAACATTTGGCCGCGCATGGTTGAAAAAATTGTTACGGGCATAAGTAATGGCTTTATCTGTGAAGGTCGCACTTCCATAATTAGGTTCGAACTTGATTCTGCCAAGAGCATTAAGAACTTCACGTTTATTGTTATTCGCTTCAAACCCGAAAGCCGAATATATTATCACTACCTGACCGAATGTGACGGCGGCGATGCGAACATCTTGGGGAGCAATTTGAAAAATGTTCACAAAATTTTGTATGAATTCCATGCCTTTGTAGAAATCGGGTTCATAGATACTTCGAGAATCGTCAATAATGAAGGCGATGTCAGCTGGTTTACTCTTGCATTCTGGGATGGAAATAACAGAAAAAAATATTTTTTAGGAGATGATAAAAAGAAAAAGAACGTAAAACAGGAAAGTTTACGAAGAAGCGAAAGAAAAATAAATGACAGGAAGAATGAAAGAAAATGAAAAGATTACAAATATATGAATGAAAACGGGGAATGACGGAAAGAAAAAAAGAGAGAATGAAAGAAAAAAGAAAACAATTGGAAAGGAATTGGCACTACTTGAATAGATTGGTCCGCTCATTAAAAAAATAGTGAACATTTTCAGGAAATACCCTTTATTGATAAATATTTTTTTGTCCGCCTTATTCTGCGAAATTTATTAGAAACCGGAAGTAGTTTTCTCTTATTAATTTAGACGGTCTTTTATATTCATAATATCAATAAGGGTCCTGAAATGGCTCACTGATAAAAATTATTTCCCAAAAAGATTTTCCCTACTTTTTGATGGGACCAATTTTTGTTCCGAAGGATTTCTGAAGTTATCATTACATGTCAGTCAATCGTATTTCAAAGTCGTTTTCCATTTCTAAGGAAAGCACATACGATACGAAAATTGCAGCCCTTTCCCCGGAAACTGCAAGAACTCTTAGACAATTTGGTAAAGGCAAATAGGAAGAAAGGACTACCTATAAGGAAAGAGGACGTTAGATCGAAAAGCTTAAAAGCTCAAGATAAAAAAAATAAGCACAAAAGTACAGAAATCCAGCAATGTAGTAAGATTTTTGATAGACGACGGAACCAGGTATTGAAATCACTGGTACCTATTTACGGCAGTGGGGGGAATCTTGGAGAGTTGAGTTAAAAGGAGATAAGTTAGACATCCGGAAGAAAAGAATGAAAGGGAAAAAAAAAACTGAAAGAAATAAGACAATGAAATCGGAAAGATTTTGGTATTATTTAAAAATACATATGTTACATTCCGTACTAATAAGAATATATATTTGAAAAACAAGGTGGATAAAATAGGTAAAGGTTTATTGTACAAAACCAGTACAATAAGAATAAAGGTAACAGTTATGCACAAGGTCGTCGAAAGTCAATCCAGTAGTGACTGCTAGTATTGGAAGGTTGGTAGTTCTCACGGATGTCTGAATCGTACACAACAGTTACCAGCTAGAAATATTTACCAATCTCCCCACGGGGTTGGATGTGGCACATAGCCGAATATAATGTGGGGAAATCCGAGCCCGTAGGCTCGGTCAAAAATTCCCCGTAAAGCCCGCATAAAAGGGTTCGGGTCTGTCTACCTCCCCGGACGAGACTCTGCCCTTCGGCACAGCCTCGTCCGGTTTCCTCTCTGCCCGAAAGCAGAGAGTTCAACGGCACAGCTGGAACAGATCAAAGCTAGTCGGTATTTACTAGCCCCCACCCCACAAAGGCAGATGTGACACAAGGCCGAATTTAACGTGGGGTATCCAAGCCCGTAGTCTCGGACCAAAAATACCCGTAGAAACCGCATAAACGGGATCGGTTTGGTCTACCACCCCGAACGAGATTCTGCGTGTCGGCGTAGCCACGTCAGGATTCCTCTCTGCCCAAAGGGAAAGAGACCGTCCACCTAGCTGGAACAGATTGCAGCTAGTCGATATTTACTAGCTCCCGCCCTATGAGGGTAGATGTGACACAAGGACGTAGGCTCGGCCAAAAAATCCCCGTAGACCCCGCATAAGAGGGATGGGGACAGTCTACCTCCCCGAACGAGAGACTGTCTTTCGACAGAGCCTCGTGCGGGTTCCTCTCTGCCCAAACGCAGTGAGTTCAAAAGCACAGCTAGAACAGATCCCAGCTAGAATATTTGCCAACCGCCCCACGTGGTCGGATGTGGTACAAGGCCGAATTTAACGTGGGGTATCCATGATCGTAGGCTCGGGCAAAATTCTCCATAGACGCCTTGCAAAATGGGGTCGGCTCGGTCTACCGCCACAGACGAGCCTCTGCCATTCGGCATAGCCTCGTCTGGGTTAATCTCTGTCCGAACGTAGAGAGTTCAACAGCACAGCTGGAACAGATCCCAGCCAGTCACTATTTACTAGCACAATCACGAGGGTAGACGTGGCACAAGGCCGAGTTTAACGTGGGTCATCCAAGCCCGTAAGCTCGGCACAAATTTCCTTGTACAACCTGCATAAACGGAATCGGGACAGTCTACCTCGCCGAACGAGACTCTGCCCTTCGGCGGGGCCTCGTCCGGATTCCACTCTGCCCGAAGGCAGAGAGTTCAACAGCACAGCTGGAACAGATCACAGCTAGAATTTTTGCCAAGTGCCTCATGCGGTCGGATGTGTCACAAGGCCGAATTTAACGTGGTGTATCCAAGCCTGTAGGCTCAGCCAAAAAATGCCCGTAGAACCAGCTTAAACAGGATTGGTCAAACTCCCCGAACGAGACTCTACCTTTCGGCTGAGCTTCATCCGGGTTCCTCTCTGCTCAGAGATAGAGAGTTCGACCGTCTAGCCGAAAAAGATTTCGGCTAGTATATTTAGCCCCCCCCCTCCACCACGAAGGTTGCATGTGGCACAAGGCCGAGTTTTACGTGGGTTCTCAGAGCCCGTAGGTTCGGCCAAAAATATTGCTTTTCGAACCCGTATAAACGGGTTCAGGGTCAGTCAACCTCCCCGAACGAGACTCTGCCCTTCGGTGGAGCCTCGTCCGGGTTCCTCTCTGCACGAAGACAGAAAGTTCGACCGTCTAGCCCAAAAGATTTCGTGTAGTCCTTGTAGTCCATTGACTTACAGCTACTTATATGAAGTTACTACCTATAGTGCAGTCACTCCTGGGGGTGACAGGTTATTCCATTAGATCAACATTTAATAACATACGTTCTATTACTTCTCCGCCGGGACGACGAATATCTCGATCTAGGCAAAGAAAAAAATTATGAATATAGAATCTAGTCTTCTAAAAAAAAAATATGAATTTACAAATCAAATATTATTAACTCGGTCTTCCTGGGTATGACGATAAACTACATCTGGCAGTAAGGCCTCTGACTGGCAGATTTTGAGAAGCGAGGAACCACCTCTTAATTGTTTCTGCTACAAGATCCACTCTGACTTGGGGTAGTAGCATCTGCTAGGGTCCCCGTTATTGACAAATAATGAACCCCCAAAATTCAACAGTACATTTTTATAATAAAATGACCAACAATACGTTTTTATAGCAAAATGACAATGCAACACCAATATATATATATATATATATATATATATATATATATAAACATCTTTATAGTAAAATGATCAACGGTACATTTTATGATCAGCAAACTGTATATCTAAAAACATAACCTTTACCATGAAAACATAAATTCATGTACGACATATCTGTAGTTGAAAGCTTAAAATTACGTGAAATCAATTTTAAAAGAAATTACCAAGAATACTTTTGTAAAGAAAAATACCAGGAAAATGGAGTCAGGCACTTGCTACAGGGAGCGGGACATTTTACCTGCATCTTTAGCTATGGATCGTATGTATTATTCCATTTGAGGCCAAGTGAACATTTAGATACATTGGGTTCATTTTCAGTTTTTCTAGTTCAACTATTTTGTACATAATTCCGTTACAATAAAAATGATGTTTTATATGCATACTACCTTATGAAAATTGAGATGTAGTAGAGTTGGGGGCCCTATATGACAGATAGGGGGTTATCGTAGAATCGTGGATGTGGCACGAAAGCCTTGCACACGTCTTGTCTCTAGTATTAAGTCACAACCTTTATTTACAGCGAGTTCCATTTTAAATGTCATAAATAAATACATTTACAATGAAGAAGTAAATAAAAAAAAACGAAATAAAATTTATATTTCAAAATACTAGATTGGCCAAAAGGTCCTCACTCACTTAGGAAGCGGAAAGAAATGTTGATTTCTGTCTGGTAGAATTTCTATGGAGTACAGAATTTCCAGCTTGTTCCACACGGTCGCGTCATCAGCGCTAATTTTTATTGTCAGCAGCAGGACCGAGTGAACGACAAACTAAGAAAGGAGTCTCCTGCTTTGGTCAATCGAAATCGGGCTTTGTTTCAGCAAGACAATTCGAGTTCACACACTGCCAGGTTGACTAAGGAGAAGTTCAAACATATGGACGGTGTTGAAAGTCATCCATATCCACCATTCAGTCCCGATGCTGCTCCGAGTGACTTGGGTCCAACCTGCTCAATGGCACACTTCTTTCACGACCAGAGATTTCAACACTTTTTTGAGGGAAGTATGGTTGCAGGTTTGTTTTTTTTATTATTCAAAGCCAGCGGACTGGTATCTAGGACATATTCGGATGCTGGGTGATCGCTGGCAGGAGACGATCGGAAATGTTGGTGTTGCCCTATATAATTCAGTTGTTTTCTTTCTGCTTCCTAAGTGAGTCAGGACTTTCTGGGTAACCTAATATATAAATTTACAACAGCATTTTTTTTAAAAAGTTTATATATAAAGTATTTAAAAATATATCACTTACTTTTGAGCTGCTCAGTTAATGCATCTAAGCTTCTGCTATCCTCACCGATGTAATTCAAAATGGCGGCATTCTGAATGTTACAAGATATTCATTGAATTCAGTAATTACCTGTATCATTTAAAGTAATTCAACATTTAATTTAACTGCAAGTGTTGGTACAATATAACCCAGTACTATCTGCCACATGGTAGGTTTAGTTCCATATCACCTTAAACTACCGGTAAAAGATCAGTAAAAAGTTAAGCAACGTCGAGCCTGGTCAGATGGGAGACCGCTTGGGAATACCTGTTAGATTGGATATGCAAGTAGTCGAAAGAGCTTACGGTCTAACCGTATGATCATCAACGTTCAGCCTGGTCGCTATCTAGGTGGGTGACCGCTTTGGGAATATTAGGGGCAGTAAAATTAGATATGTGAGTAGTCAAAATGTCTTACGGCCATATTACATTGAAATACCGGTTCTCGTACGATCACCGAAATTAAGCAACATCCACACTGGTCAGTACCTAGATGGGTGACCGATTGGGAATATCTGGTGCT